CAGCTTTAGCGGATGACCCCTCAGATGCTTGTTTGCAGAAAACTGGAATTAGGTTGTTGGAGTATACTGCGTTCAAAGCGAGCGCACGGCTACTAAATAGTCACGGCTCTTTTTTAGTACCAAAGGGTAAAACGGGACCCTATTACTTAGACTCCGCTGTCTGTCTGTCCGTCTGTCAGTATCCTCATGAACCGTGACAAAGTACCGTAGTTACAAAGTTGAAATTTTCACAGATGACGTATTTCTGTTGCCGCTATGACAACAAATACTAAAAAACGAAATAAAAAAATATATAAGGAGGGCTCCCATGCAATAGTCATTGCATTAGACATTGCATTTTTGCCGTTTTTCTAGATAATAGTACGGAAACCTTAGAGCGCGAGTCGGTCTCGCACTTGGGTGGTTTTTTTAATGATGGAACTGCTTTACAGAAACGAGGTATGGATGATTACAGATTTTTCCGTCTACGGACGCGACTACATGATTAGTTCAGAATAAAAGTAAATGAAAAGAAGAGAGTTCCGTTAATAGCAGAATTAATTTCCACTCATATTTTACATTTCCCCCCCTCGAGACTAACAACGCAGGTGCTACGGAAGTTGGGAGATGGGCGGATGGGAGGCGTTGATCAATTACCATCTAGGTTAGGCAAAGAGCTAAATGTGCCTTAAGCTAGGTTATTTTACTTTATCACCAATTGCAAAAATAAAAATATGTATAGCTTAATTTAACTAGTCAAAAACAATATTTTTAAGTTATCGTTAATAAAGTTATTATTTTGACTGCCTGCGCACAGCCTACCATTAAATTTAATCTAAGTTACTTAATTTATTTTTGATTTAATTTAATACTTTTATTTGTACATGTGGTGTTTATCTTCAAGTAATTGTTACACTAATATATGTTTAATCTTAAGTTAGTTTACTGGTAGCTTTTAGAAGTATCTAGTGTCAACAATTGTTGATAAACGTTTTAAAATAAATAACCAGTGAGTCTTAACAAAAATAAAAGAGAAATGAGCAACCGTTGTCATTTCAAAGTAATTCTTCTCATTCAAACTAAGTTTAGCATAATATTATGGTTAGCCCGAGAGGTTGCATTATGTATTCTATCAATATAGATACTTAATACCACAGTCGAGTATCGTAATTTATGCTATATTGACATAAGGATCTGCGATATATTATTTAAATAAGCACCATTAAAATATATAGTCGGTAAACGGAATACATTAAAAGTTAGGCATTAAAATTATTTTGCTGTCATCTTAAATCCGATAGTAGTATAGAATTAATGATATCGAATGGTCGATACAACACGTTAAGTTTTATAAACGCTGATAATGTTTTGCCCCAATAAAATAGGCACGCCGAATCGCCAAGAAATTTTCTTACGAATTGTGACACATAATTTAGAATTTTCCTTCGCATCGAGATGATTTTTACACATTGAATAAATGTAGACTGCAAACTTGGATCTCCCTTTAGATGCTTTAACTTGGAACTAACACTGTCTCGTTCACACTTTGTATCGCAAACAAACACCGGTATCAACACATAAGGTCACGAGCACAGCACCGATAAAAGGCCTCGGGGCGAGCGGGCGTCCGTCGCATCGCGCACTCATTACTGATTTTGCACGAAAGTTTATAATTTGTCTTCCTATTATCAGTTTCGTATCAACAAAGATTGTTATACGTGCAAGTGGTTATGCTATGCCTAAGTTTACAATGTCTCAGAGAGACATTTTAACAGGTGAATGCTAATTGATTTTAAAGCGTCAGCTTACTTTTTTTAATATGCGTGCTTATCTACATAGTTAATCGTATAAAATACTTGAAAATCTTTATACCGAAAAATTTTCGCTCACAAGTGATATTTTAAGTTATTGTTCAACCTACACCTAACATAGATTCAATCGTAAAATCACCTTAATACATTTATATACAGCGTGTCGTTATAACCGCGACAATAAATGAAAACACGTCTAACGCTACTTGCCAATAATCATAAAAAAATATAAAACGTTAAAAAAATCCATAATTAAAAAAATATATTTTTCAAACAAACTAATTAAATAAAAAAGAAACAATATTTGTAACACCTATACAACTACAACTGGCTGATTCGTACATTCAGAGACTGTTACATTCGTTGACACAACGTGGCATTACAAGTGTCTCCTTAAATATCCTTCTCTAAATGTTTAATACAATTTTAAAAAGTTATCCTCACGTCATTCACGACTACTGGTCTCGGGATATCATGACTATTGAACATAATTTTCTGTCAAAGTTGATACCGAGACCCACTTGTCTCGAAGAATCGCTCAGGCTGCTGAGCATGGCTTCCAGATCTTGCAGAGATCTGCCATAATGACAATGTCGTCAGCGAATCGCAAGTGTGTTATTAATTGGCCATTAATATTAATGCCCCGTCCGTTCCAATCCAGCGTCTTAAAGACGTCCTCCAATGCATTGGTAAACAGTTTTGGGGAAATCACATCCCCCTGTCTTACCCCACGATGCAATTGGATTGGCCTTGTTCTTTGACCTTGTACTTGGACGGACATTGTTGCAGTCTCATATAGACGTCTCAACACTTTGATATATCGACAGTCAATTGAACATCTCTGCATGGATTCTAGAACAACCCAGGTTTCAATTGTATCGAAGGCTTTTTCGTAGTCCACATACGCTAGCTAGACATAGATGCTGGTTGTATTCTTCTGAATTATTTGTCTAAGTGTATGTATGTGGTCCACTCTGCTGAAACCTTTACGAAACCTGGCCTGCTCCACGGGCTGGAAGTCATCAATTTTTGGGTGAGACGATTCGTTATAACCCTTGAGAAGAACTTATACATATGGCTCAGGAGTGATATCGGTCTATAGTTTTTCAATGTAGTCTTATCACCCTTCTTGAAAAACAACATGACCGACCACACCTCTGCTCCATGTCTCCGGTGTAATGCCATTATGGAGGACGGAATTAAAGAGCTTAGCTAACTCTGCCAATACAGGTGTGCCCTCTGCTTTCAATAGCTCTGATGTAATCCCTTCCTCCCCCGGACCTTTCTTGTTCGCTTAAATAATTACTCAATACAGCCAATAAATTTAACTTACACTGCCCATCTGTTAATATCTAATGGAAGTAACAGATAAACAAATAATTTGCAATAAAATAATATTGCGACTATAAATTGAGATGTAAGCTATCCTATCTTTCAAGTTGGATCAAACTGCTCACGGTGTGCAAATTTGATTAAAATCGGTTAAGTAGTTTAGGAGTACATCGCGGACAAACAACGAATACAAGAAATTTATATTAAGATATTCAATATATACGGTTAAAATTAACATATCGAGAATGAACACAAAATAGCCCTTTTAAATTAACAACCCATAACATAATCTTTGCCGCGCTCCTCTTTCGTTATTGGTCGATTAATAGCAACATTACATTATACATCAACTCTCCTCAGTTCAAATATACAGATCGAATCAACACGGGTAGAATATAAAATAGGTTATTATGTCTGCAAGTGATTACGTTTGTAAAAACCAATTATGAGGATTTGTTTTTTGGAGCATTACTTTGTTTCTTCAATGACAATATAATTGAATGATATGAAATTGCTTTTCACCATAAGCTCCTTAATTGAACTTGCATTATGCAATAAATTAAAATATGGTACAATTCATTGAACCTGATGCAATTACGATCCATATTTACCACAGAAATCATCAAAAAACACCTCGTTTTCTTGAATACCATGGGATCAATTCATTAGAATAAAATGAGCCAGCATGTCACTGCTCATGCGTGATATTGATCAGCGGGCTACACTCATCTTCACCTTCTTCGTCGGTGCTCGAAATAGAAGGTATTAAATTTATTCAACTTTATCAACAATATTATAAATAAGTATTCAATAACTACCAGTACTCGCCCAGTGGTCGAAAGTCGACCGTAATTAATTATACATTGTAGTTTGTGTAATGTTTTTTTTTTATTGATTTAATTATGTATAATTTTTAAAAAAATATTAGCATTCTGCCCTCCTTCATAACTAAGTGTGGGGAAATTTCATACTCCTGAGTCCGCGCAATTTTCATGAAAAGGGGTACAAATTTTTTGTTTCACGTATTAATATTAATAATATAGATATAGATATAACCCTTGGTTGTAAAAAAAATGTAGATTTGAATTTTTCATTCGTTAAATAGTTATTTGGGATTGGTTGCGACTGTTCTGCGCTAGGTACTTGGCAACAGATAAAGGCCGAAGTAAAAGTGTTTCATTGTATCAATCCGTCTTCAGTGTAATTTGTTAAACATTTGTTAAAAGTTGTAAAGTGATCAGTTCCTGTTTTAAGTGATTACCGCCGCCCATTGACATCTTCCACTCCTGACGGGTTGTAGATGCGTTGTCCTTTTAAAAAGTGGGCCCCGGTTACTTCACCAGACGAAACGCGAAAGTGTAATAGTTCCACTTCTCGCCGGTCTTCTGTGAGGCCGTGGTACTTCCCCACCCGAGGTACTACTGTTATAATGTCATTTTAAATCAGAAATTATTTGTATTATTTGTCAGCTTTGGAATGATCCATAGAATCAACTTTTCCAAACTGTTGCATGATAAATCGTGGTTGTCTACAGATAATCCAAGGAGTGTCTATGCGAGAATAGTAGATAAATTATTTTTGAGTGGCGCAAAGAACTAGCTGATGGTCCTTTAACAATATATACGTTTTTTATCATAAAATTTATTCATTCAGAAGTCTGTGAGTACATTAAGAATAAGGTGTCTACGACCGAAGTAAGTTTGGTATCTATATCGTCCGCCGTTCTATATCGTCATTTCAGTCTGTTTTGAGTCCACTACTGAACATAGGCTTCCCCCATAAACTGACACGAAGTACGATCCTGAGCCACCTGCATCCTAGTGGGGGGTCTTCCTACACTGCGACGGCCGTCCTATATCGACATACAGAAACACTCACCCATGACCTTCTTCGGTGGCACCTTCCTGGGCTCCTTTTCGTCCACATCCTCGCGCCGCACGCCCTTCCCGCCGGCGTCGCCCTGGTGCCACTTCCGCTTCCGGCCCTCGCGCTGCTCCTCCAGATACATGCCCAGTTCCTCCTCCCTACCCACCAGTGTAAGCCTCACTGACGACTCCCACGTGAAAGGGTCCTCCTTGCGGACGTCGTGCATAATAAGCCCCGTATAGTCTCTGTCTGCTACGTACGATTCCATCACACCCGGGCCATAACGCCCGCACTACACTAAAAGTCACTGAATGAACGATGAACGGTGATTGATGACTGTTTGAACGCGCCGCGGCGATCAGGTTAGAAGAGTACGAAGAACGAGTTGTACAGCTTCTTGATGCCGGTCGTCTCTCTCTGGCGGTGGCTCTGCAGAAGCTCGTTCTCGATCTTCAGTAGCATGTTTGCGTTGGAGCGACAGAGGTGGTACTGTATGTGCGGGACCAGGCCCGGGAACAGCTTGTTAGTGAAACGGTTGCCGATCAAATACGTTCGCTGGCAGCGGGGAATGGTCTCCATGGGGCACACTTGGCGATTGGGGCGAATTCGGTGCAGCTCTAGTCCTCCGCTCGGTTGGCTCGGGCCTAGCAGGCGACGCTATTTGTGTGATGCTACGGCTCCTGAAAGAAAGCAGATATATTTTTAGATTTGTTGACGTGTTAAAAAGGTTCGACGAACGAGTTCTATAACGGGGTCAATAGCAATTGAGGTTATTCAGCATTCTACACATACCTAAACGGAACGCCTAGAACGTTGGAAGTACTAAGTAGAAATGTTTGAGCTAATGATCGAAAACCTTAAGTAAGTACAAGCCACACAATTGGATGTCATTAATAGATAACATCACATGTGTAGCAATTCCTCCATGTGTAGCAATTCCTCCATACCGCATTAACTTAGTGATTACTTTTACGTCTTTTCTTTCATAGCCTTCCAACTATAAATTCACATTATAGAGATGCGTAAATAACTTAAACGTAATTAAAAATAACTAATATGTTATAAATAAAGATAGGATATTTGAACCGTTTCCGTGTAATTTGTGATAGTAACTAAAAATAGACTCAAGAAGTGAAAAATTGAATTTCTCCTGACGCAGTAAAACGGAATGTAATATGATATTAGTGTAAAGAAATACGCTGCGCTACACATAAGGCAATCTTATGTAATGAAGACATGCAATCACATTTGATCGCGAAAAATATGTACAAAGTCGCGGGTACAAACTAGTTGCTTACTCATTAATTCTCTCACATTTGTGTCTTTTCTGATAGCCTATTTTCTGAAATTGTACGTTGCCTATAACGGTTTCTTGATTTAGTTTTCTAAAAATGTTATGAAATTTATTAATATGATTTAAAACAATAAAATATAACAAACTATTTATGAATTTTAGTATTAACTATTTTTATTATTTTTTTATGTGAAAAGTTGCCAAACAAGCAGACGGTTCACCTGACGTTAAGTGAATACCGCCGCCCATGGCTGCCGCTGCTACACCAGAGGGTTGCAGATGCGTTGACAACCTTTTGAAAATTGGCCACCTCACTCACCAGACGAAACGCGAAAGCATTATACTTCCACTTTACGCTGGTCTTCTGTGGGGTCGTGGTACTTACCCGGACGAGCCTGCCCATTCGTGCAACAGCCGAGGCTGCTGCGTGGCCCTACCACCGTAAAAAAACTACTGTTAAATTTCCACCAATTGTTTGTATAAAGTGATCAAATTCTGCTTTTTTTATAATAATATTTATTTACTTATAACATGATAGAAAGCTGTCAAACAATACATTTAGAAAGCCTTAATATTTTGTTAGAAGTCGTAGCATGCATTTATTAATGCAAATATTTACAGGTTTTAAGCGTAAATGAAACAGGCAGGATGAAACTTTCAATTGTAAATTTTTAATTGTAGGCAGGATGAAATTAGAGCAGCTGTATACTTACATCTAAGGAAAAAATATGGATGAAATAATGGAATGCCAGAAAGAAAAATTGAGTACAAAAAAAGACAAAAACATTTTATGTACAACTTATACGAGCGCGTAATATAAATTGTCTTCTCAACTCTGATTCGCATCTGCAACATCACGATTGTTGCAGTAGTGGCAATGCACACATTCGCAGCAGTTATCACGTAACATCAGATGAAGCGCTAGCTAGCTTGCCACCATTTTACATTAAAAAAGTATCATCCACAAATTTAAAGATCGTAGGACAATCTATCAATACTAAATCTGTTACGTTTAAATCAACTTAAAGACGTGACCGGATGGATAAATTCTATTCTTACGTATAATATGGCTTATCTCACTAAGTAGTTAACTTAATTAAAATTTATCAAATTGCGACACTTGAAAACTTATCAGAAGGCAGACAAACGGTATAAATGTAATCGCATTTTTCGTTTTGTTTTGGTTTAAATACGTTTGGTTAATAACCGAAAACAATATTTTGCGATCGTAATGCAGCTCTTATAATCGATAAATCTTATGTAATCAAATTACATTTTTTTAAAATAAGAAATTAATCTATATATCAATGTGAAAACGACATCAGACAATAATATAAAACGCTGAAACCAAAAGACGTCACGCAATAAGCCGGGTTGCACTAGGCCGTTGCCGTAATCTCGTAAACTGCGCTGGTCGTAACCTGAATTATCTGAATAAATTGTCCAGGTAGACCGCTGCCGGCGAATAATCGAATTAAGCGAGTTAAACGCAGAAATATGCGTTCGCGGTTTTCATTTAAAGTCAGTGTCATTTGAAAGAAAATCACGTTGTCGTACGCCAAACCGGAAGGCTGTTGTGTTATTACTTTGATCGCAGCTATAAAAACTACATAAATAATACCCGTCATAGTACTTTTCGGTACATTAATAGATACGGAAAAGTACTATAGTTAATTCCTGTCTGGATCACTTTGTCACATCAGTATTCGTCTGCAAAATCTATAATATACAACATACAAGCTACAACATTTTATTGCCAGCCAAACGCTGAAAAAAAGCTGAACACACAAAATTTTCAGATTTTATAAGACGTAAATGTAAACTAATTTACTATCTATCAATTCAATGTTATAATTTATTTATTTCGCATTTAATCATTGAGCGCGTGATATTTAAATAGCTGGAATGAAAAGGGAAATTTTAAGTATAAAATCGGATAAATAAATAATGTTGATTCGAAAAATTATTGAAGTCATAAAACAGAATAATGTGACTAGTTGAACAATAAAGCAAAAAAGTGCAAATTATATTATTATTATTAAATTTCCCTTTAACATTATAGTCAAGGAAAAAAATTAGAACAAAATGGTATTTAATTAAACAAAAAATGCGTTAAGCTAAGTGTTGCTCTACAAATGCTGTGACAAATTACATTTAATACAATGTTAGAGCGTGATTAAATTTTAGATATAAATAAAAGGAAAACAAAACCATTCCCTTCACAGAATGGGCTTGTGACTTAGGCTTTAGGCTCCTTAAGGATAGCTAATGCCGATCACTTTTTCTTTATGTTCATGAAACCCGGGAGTGTACGCGAGTGTAACTCCGGTTAAAATGCATTGGGCATGCTTACTACGCTATGCTTCCAAAGACGACATCAGACTCCTACTGCCATTATATTACAAATTTTTCTTAAGATCCCACACAGAGAATCTACAATAGGCTCGATTAGTTAAAAGAACACGGAACAACTTCAAGAACGAACCAAGCCCGGTCGAACGAGTTCCTCACCTCACAGAAGAGTCCCTTGCAACACTAAAACACTGCTCGCAATGTCCAATGAGTACGCGTCCTGTAACGATCATGCCATGTTGGCGAACCACAACTTTAGCGTCCGTCGCGGTCCATAAGTGGCATTGCATCAATCCACCATTTTGTAAACGCGCCGAATAGACCGCCAATCTGGTGCGCTCTCACTCCGCGGTCTTCCGCTGGATGGGGGGCCCTGTTTTCGAGAACCCGAAGACGATTTCACGGCGTCGGGCGTGCGTTTATCGTCCGCGCGGTGTGCTCTATTGCTAAATTGGTGGCGCGGAGACGGTCAAATGAATAAGTACGCAATATTGTCATTAATTCGCTGGCCAATCGCGTGGTGAGGAGCTCTGTGTGGACGCCGGGAATTGGGAGCACTTGGACGGCAGGGTCACACGGACGCCGGGTCAAGACGCGGCCGTGTGGTACCGCGGCCGCGGGGCGCGGTTCCGTACGGTCCGCGGCCCGAGTGCACGTGTGGGGGATAATTGGGGGACGGACTTGGAATGGACGCTTTGAAGTTCGCTAACAACCGTTGGAAAAGAAAAATTATAGCTACTATCATGAATGGGGGGAAGGATGGAAACTACGAACGTCTGATGCGTTTATCGGAGGTAATTAAAGTGTGTACGGTAAGACCTAAAATTCTATTGTATGATATTTCTTAGAGTTACCTTTACCTTTATTTACGTAATATCTTGTGGCAGGCTGAGCGGCAAAGTTTCTATTCTTCGCATTTTCTTTGTCAACTAAGAGAATAGACTTTAGGCAACAATCAAAACCTAGTTGAAGAAAAATATCAACACAACACAAAACTAAATGATATAGTTCATTTTGTAAGACGAATCGCGTGATAAAGAACAATAAGAACATATCAACACTAATCGCTTGTCATGCTTGAATTTTACTTCAAATCATGTTACCATCTTTGTTACAGTGAATAAGCCTTATTTGTAATGTTTTTATATAATATAATATTTAAAAAAAAAGTGATGTTTTCGCTTTCAGTCCGTAGACTATTAATATTAAGCCTTGGTCAAACGCAGCACTCGTGAGCTAGGGCCAGTGACCAGTGGAAACGCAGTCGTATAACACTTCCACTTGACACCTGTTTTCTGTGGGACTTACCCGGACGGACCTGCCCATTCGTGTAACAGCGAAAACTTGCGTGGTCCTACCACAGTTATGCGTTGTAGGATTTTCTTTCGATGAAATATTAACGCAAACGAGCTATGATGGTTAGTTACAATGCGATGGTTAGTTAGATGGCGTAAACAACTCGAGCCAATATGAAAAGATATTTTTTCTAGTTATATAAAAACTATTATTTCTAGGGTATGATAATTATATCATTGTCATTAATCAGTCCAAACTTCAAATAGCTAATCCAGTTTCAAGAATTAAAGCCACCTTTCATTATTCTTTTAACCATGGACACCTGACTAAAAACGGAGTTCCCACTTTTGTAAACGTGAGTTTATTTCTATCATTTAATAATTAATCTTTATCCAAAATCTAATCGTCCAAAAACACAAACCTTAACTGATTACGTGAAATGAAAATGATTTTAACTTAAGCTACTTACATCCATGACTATGTAATCCTGAAAAATAGTAGGAACAAACATTACGACGTAATTTCTGTTTCAAATTACAAATTTTAAAATAAAAAATATGTATCACTTATTAAAATCCCATAATTAAATGATATACGGATAAGCTTGTGATATTTTCTATGTATTGAGACTTGAAGA